TATATATATATATATATATATATATATATATATATATATATAGGCAAATAATAACATGAGATTATGTTTTGGGCAGTTTACAACAGAAATTTGTTACAGAGTGTTTTAGTTTTTATGGCTTTTGCATTGGTACAATACTTTAAAGTTGACACATACGAAGAAAGATAAGTAGAAAAAACTATAAATCTAGGTTTTACCTCTCCCACTACCTTAGCTAAATTGGACCCTATTTACCATGCTGCTCTGAGGTATATAACAGGTTCATCCTTTAGGACTCATCATTGTACTCTATACACCCTTGCTGGACTTAGTTCTCTCAATGTTCGAAGAATGAAGCATTGGTATATTTTCATATACAAAGCCATTTTAGGAAAATTACCATCATATATCTGCTCCAATTTCATTACACTACAGAACACACACAGTCTCAGGGCCAGTAGCTGGCTGAGGTTTAAGGTACCCTTTGTACGCACAGAGTCAGCAAAGATGAGTTTGTCCTATTTCGGCCCGTGGTCTTGGAACGATCTGCAGCTTAAGTTGAGGTTAGAGTCTTTTATTCCATTAGCTAGTTTTAAACAAAAATTGTCTGAGGTTTTAGTCAAATCTTGTACCTGTAATGTTTAACTGTTTTGCGATTTTCTTAACTTACATTGTATTTTATGTTTTATTGATGTATGTTTCTTTTACTTATATTTTATTTTTAATGCATTGATACTGTTTTTAAGACTGTTGCTATATGTGTATATAGCCCAGGACATCCTTGTAAAAGAGATTGATGATCTCAATGGATTTCTTCCTGGTAAAATAAAGGTTTAGATTAGGTTTTAGCATGGCAAATTTACAGCTATGGATGTGGAATTTAGCTAATATTAGTGTTAAATTTACAACAAAAACTTTCTTACTTGGAATATTCAAGCAAAAAAACCTAAACAGTATAGTTTTAGCATCAAATGGTAGGTCAATTTCTAACTTTCTATTCACAAACAAGAAAATGTCTTTCCAGAACCGCTGAGTATAAGAACAGTCCCAGAAAAGATGGTGACGGTCTCCTCAGAGCTGTGGCAGAGTGAACACACTGGCTCTACATTCGGACGGTGCTTGGAGATTATACGATTGACAGGATAGCATTTATGCAGAATTTTTAGGGACAATTCTCGAATCTTATTAGTTATGAAATATTTTCTAGGCAACAGCCAAACATTTTTCCAACAAATATCATTAAATGAATTATCCCAGAAGAATACAGAAGCAGGTTTACTGATACAGTCTCTAATTATTAATTCTCTAATACATTTGTTATTTGTTTTTTCGCTTAAAAATGGGTCAGAGTTGCCAAAGAATAATTCTTCATTTAAATAGTCCGTGTTATTTTGTACAGAGTTTGACATCAGTATTTTCACACCAGATGGAATGGCGTCAAACACAGTTGCAAATTCTCTCGGCAGTAAATTACATGTATTCAAAAATTCACTATAAGAGTAAGTGTTGCCCTCTTTGTTGAATAGTTGATGTACATGAACAATGCCTCTGTCAAACCATTTTTTTAAGAAAAATGGATTTGTGTTTAAAACATGTCTGTGTTACTCCAGATATAGTATTTGTGTGGGGAGGAATTGTGTTTGTGAACCAAAGTCCAATGATAAAAGCAGCTGTTTGTGGAAATTGGAGAGTTTGACCAGGATTTTCTCAATGCTATAGTTACATCTTAAAATAAAAGATAAACCACCCAGTGCTTCAAATACGTGTGTCGAAATAAAGTTCCATAAAGAATGCTAACTGTAGTGTATGATGCTAACATCTTACCCTTTAGCTTGGGAGCTGTTGTCTGCCGCTTGTATTTGTTTTAAAAATGACTTCATGTCTCGTTTGAAAGCTATAATAACTGGATTTCTGTTATCGAGCTGACCGTAATATGTAGCCGGTGGGTCCATACTTGAGATTAAAGTTATTTCAACCGGTTTAAACAGTCGCTTAAAGCAACTGCGCAACGTTGTCAAATCACCATGACAACCACATCACCATGGCAACGACACGGCGTAGACCGGAAGTAGGAAAACAGCTTCGCTTCAACGATGCTTCTCTATTTCCTTTGTAAAAGAAAAATAAACAGTTTTAAGCTGAGTAAGTGAGTAGCTTCAAATTAAATTTAAATTATGTGTTGATTTGTTTATTTTGTTTTGCAGCAGCACAAAAATGCTGCTAAAGTTAAAAAATATATATATATTTTTTTAGGGAAAACCAAACACAAGTAAGTTACTTAAACAAATAAAAGGGAAGTTTCTTTTAGAGCTAAACTCTAAAAATCCAAGGAAAATAAATATGTCTTTTGTGCTTTTATTTCTTTGCATTCCATTTCTAAATCAAGCCTGTCCGACATTTTTTCAAAATATAGAAAGCATTTTATTATTAATGTAACTCAAACTAGTTAGCAAAAGAAAGCAAATGTGTGGAGTGCCCCCTCCAGGTTGGGGAGGAGACTTTGCCTCAGGTGGAGAAGTTCAAGTATTTGGGCGTCTTGTTCACGAGTGATGGATGGAGAAGGAGATGGATTCGGGCCTCTTCCTCAGAAATGAGGGCGTTGCTTCAGTCAATCATGGTGAAGAAAGAGCTGAGTCGAATGGCAAGCTCTTGATTTACTAGTCTGTCTTTGTTCCCACCCTGACCTATATGGTCATGAGGTTTGGTTTATGATTGAAAGAACAAGATCCTACAAACAGAAATGAGCATCGTTCACAGAGTGGCTGAGCACAGACTTGGAGAAAGGGTGAGGAGCTCCGTAATCCTGAGGGAACTCGAAATAGAGCTGCATCTCCTCCCCATCAAAAGGAGACAACTGAGGTGATCCAAGCATCTGATTAGGTAGACTCCCTTTAGAGGTTTTCCAGGCATGTCCCACTTGTAGGAGGTCCCATGAAGGACCCAGAAAAACACTGGAGGGATGGTGTATCTTCTCTGGCCTTAGAATGCCTTTCCCTGGAACTGTTAGGATTTGTGTCAGGAGCGAACCCAGAGTGCAGAACAGGGACTCAACTCGGCAGATATACAAAAATAGGCTTTTAATGAAAAAACAAAAGTACAAAATAAACAAGCTGACGGGGCAGCAAAACTTACATGAACTAGGAAGGAGGCACGGGGAACTCAGGAGACACGAGAGACACGGGGAACTCGAGGAACCAGGAAGACTCAGGGAAAGACTCAGGAGACCCAAGGAAGAGTACCCAACGAAGACGACCCGACGAAGAACAAGACAGAATAGGACGGCTTAAATACAGGGACAAGACGAGACGTGATAACAAACAGCTGGGACGAGACACAGGTGGCACTAATGAGGGAGCACGAGGGAAACAGACACAAACCGGGCCACAGAAAAGTACCATCCTTACAGGAACAAGATGGAAAGTGTCTCTGGGGGGAGGGATGTCTGGGTTTCTCTTCTGGACCTGTTGCCTCTGCGACCTGACTGTCGATAAGCAGTCGAAGACGGAGATGGAGGAGAAGAGAAAGTATTAAACATTAATGATTTGTTCATAGCATTTCTTTTCATTGGTAAGAGACAAATTATGTTTTAAACACAGACAATTAGAAAGGCATGATCATATATAAAAAAATGAACAATTAATATATAAATAAATAAATAAATATATATATATATATA